GGCCTTGAGGTAGCGGTCCTAGGAGCCGGGCAGGTCCTCGAAGCCCTCGGAGCCCTCCGAGTCCGTCTTGGAGTCGGAGTGCAGGAGGTCGGCGTCCTGCAGCTCGTCCTCCAGCTCGTCCTTGTTGCTCTCGATGTTCTCGGTGTCGATGTTCTCCAGGTCGATCTCCTCCTCGTCCTCCCTCTTGTCCTCTTCCCCCTCGTGGTCGCTCCCGTAGGAGTTGCCCTCCTCGTCAGTCCTGCTGCGGGGGGCCCAGGTCATTTTATTCTCCTTTCGGAGTGCAGGAGGTCGGCGTCCTGCAGCTCGTCCTCCAGCTCGTCCTTGTTGCTCTCGATGTTCTCGGTGTCGATGTTCTCCAGGTCGATCTCCTCCTCGTCCTCCCTCTTGTCCTCTTCCCCCTCGTGGTCGCTCCCGTAGGAGTTGCCCTCCTCGTCAGTCCTGCTGCGGGGGGCCCAGGTCATTTTATTCTCCTTTTTGAGGCGCCGGCGGGCGTTGGCGAACCAGGTGGAGACCTGGGTGAGGGTCATTTTGGTGATGATGGCCAGCATGATCTTCTCGCCCTTGGTGGGGTAGGGGTTCTTGCGGTGCTCGTTGAGCCAGGCCTTGAGGGTGCTGGTGCTCTCCCGGGTAGCGTTTTTGGGCCGCCCGGGATCTCCGTACTGGAACTGTCCGTAGGGGTAATAGCCAGGGGCAGTGTGGGCAGCAAAGGTAGCAGGGTGGACACCCGGATTATCTTTCAGCTCGTACTGGGAGCCCTGCAACACATTCAGACAAGTGGAGAGGAAAAAGCACATCAATTATCTCGTTAGCGTCTCTAACAGACCTGAATAGGCTACTCCGGGAGCCGGAATGCGCCTGTGAACAGTGCAAAGGGTCTTCACAGTCAAATTCGGCCCTCCCCGCTCCAGGCGCTTCACGTTTAGATCGGATAGAGGTATTCCCAAACGATCCCCCCTTCTTGCAGAGAAAGGAAAAGAGATGGACTAAACTGGGGGCTGCCAAACGCTATGCGCATTTTCTCTGCAAACCAAAGCAAATCAAAAGATGGAAACGCAGTAAGTTCACATTCGCCTCGACGAGACAATTTATTGTGTGGTCGAAATAATCGGGCAGGAAAAAACAAGTATTACGCCAGGTACAAACTAATGCCTGCACACAGCACTGTAATTATCTGCAAAATATCCGGGAGGATACTACCAGTAAATCCAGAGCATTCTTATTTGGCCCCAGATCTGCCTTTAAAAATAAGTTGACGTGAAACGAGACTAGGGATATGAACGCAGTTTCGTATGGTTCGGTACGAACACACTTCTTCTGGAAAATATGTTGCATACACCCCCCAAATACTGTAAGATTATGATGTAAAATGTTAACTTCTGCTAGGAGAGCCTTTGAACTCTGTAATGAAAACTGATCCATGCACTGTAGAATACGTATATGCAGATACTTTATCTCATAAGTTTTACTTTGATCTGAGCAGAGCAAACACAAACTGTTTACAAGCGTTTAGAGACGGTGATTTATTTGCAATCAATATTCTTTTTATCATCAGTAGTAAAACACAGCAAGTCAAATTATCCCGTCAGGTGTTTTGTTAAATAACATTTTATCTTTCTAATAACCTCATTAGGCTTCATTATTGCCGCAAATTGTCCAGATATTAACTTAGTATTTTAACTCATGATTTCAAAATTGTAAGAAATCTAGAATTTATTTCAAAATATCACTGTCATGGCAAATAATTATCACTGTAGTAAATCAAGAGGACACCTTTGCCAGCAGGAAATGGAACTGTTCCTGGATATGTAACATTTAAAGCCGTTTTCGTTTTTTCTTGTTTCTGTTACAATGTTACTTTTTCTAGTCCAGAAAAATATTCACAACACTAATCTCGTGAAATTTTATGTGAGCCTAAAAAATGAACGTCTTTAAAATCGCGATCTTTTATTTGAGTTGCTTTCAAATCTCGTTTTAGCAATCGCCAATCAGTTGTGTGTTTTACAGAGGTTTAACCCTGCCTCATGGTATTCTAATTATCTAGAGATAGATTTAGATATAATTTCTTTCCTAACCCCCCCCTTCCTCCGAAGTAAAGGCATAGGAAGCTAGGGTGTCAGCTGGAAACTGCACACGAAAGGCACAGGAAAAAGTTGTGACATTTAAAAATAAAGGTTCCCTCCCCCTCCCCCCCCTTTTTCAGGTTTTGAAATTTACAGCGTTTCCTAGCCCGCGCTCATTTTGTTTTCTTTATTAAGATATTCCCTCCTTCCCTTCCTCCTTCCCTCGGCCCTGGAAAGGGTTACATCTCCTAATATAGACTTAAAAGTCTATTAGATTTCCTTTTTTTTTTTTTTTTTTACATTTGCATTTCCAGAGCTACCTTGAAAATTTTCCTAATGTACTGAATCTTTAAGGAGTTCTCTACATTTTGTCTGGGCTAACAGTGGGCAGATACAGTGGAAAAGCTAAGTTAATTTTCCTCCTAATAAGGGACTTCAAAGAGTTGTAGGTCACAATTTTACATCAAAGGCAGAAAAGAAGGCAAATTAAAATCTTAACAAAGGAGAGACGGGAGCAGCCCTCTGGGCCATTAGTAAATAAGTGGTGTGAAAAAAGGGACAATGACAGGCACTGGAATTAAACTCATTAACACCTTTTTGTCTTGGTGCGAAATCTCTAATTAGGAAATTTATGATCATTTTGCTTATTCCCTCTGTTCTGAATCACTACAAGGCTTAGAAGGAAGTACCTGGTACTGGGAATATTTGCAAAGGGAGCAGTGGCACCACGTTACAAGGAGCTATTGGGAGGGAGTCACGATATGTTTTAATTACTGGGTAACTTTTTTTTATGATCAACACATTTTAAATTACAGGGTGTTCCCCCCACCCCCCCTTTCTAAAACCAGCGTGTGAGTTGTAATTTAGCGTTTTAAGACTGGTTAAAATACAGTTCAATCACAACGCGTGTTTGGAAAGCGCAAGTGTATCCTGAGTCGTTACTGTTTTGTTAGGGGAAGAGGCTGAAGTGAAACGTTAAAAAGTTTATGCAACTTGTAGGGCTGTGATTGCCGGGAGGGGAAAGGGGCGATCTGAACCTGCCATTGTTATCTGCTTGTTAGAAATCCAGTGTTTAAAGAGAAGTTTGAGGGCTCTTTTGAGGAATTTGGATTGTGTGAGCAGGAGAGCCGTTTAACCATATTCCCCTCTGTTCCCAAATACTCTGCGGATTTATTGCCTTTAAAATATGATTTAGGTACAATATAACCGCTGTGCCCACAGTATGGATTTTTATAGCTACATTTCTTTAAAAATGAAATTCATGTCAGATTATGCTGTTAAAGGAATCGACCTTGATAGCTTGCTATAATAAAACTATATCAGCTTGTAATAAATGCGGATTATAGCAAAGCAAGCTCCAGAATTAAAATTCCCTGAATCAATATATGAAAATCTGTAGGAAACATCTCTAATCGTATTAAGTTCATCTTTATAGCATTTCCTATCTGCTAATCTAGTGCAAAAACAACTCTGGGTTGGAGGAATTTATTTTCTTCTATTCAGCGTGGCTCCTGTAATAGGTTTTGATAGTATAATGCAATGGAGATAACAATATTAAATTCAGTTACATGTTTATTTCTTTTTAATTCAAAAGGAAAAACAGGCAGTGAATCCCCATGTCCTGATTTCCTTTAAACTTTGCTGTGCGAATTGCTTAGCTCAACCGTTGTGATGCTGAGAAGGTCGGCGGACCGTCTGGAAGCAGACCACAACTTGTAAAAATATCTGCCTCATAGCCCCCCCCCCACCCACCCCCC